TATATATATATATATATATATGTGTGTGTGTGTGTGTGTGTGTGTGTGTGTGTGTGTGTGTGTGTATGTATATATATATGTATGTATATGTATGTGTATATGTATGTGTATGTGTATATATGTAATTATGTATGTATATAGATATATATGTATATGTACATGTGTGTGTATGTATATAGAGAAATGGCAAAAACTGACTTGCAATTAATTACTATGAGACATTATCAATAAGAATTGACATAAGAACGCACAAGTAATTCTGGGTAAAATCTAATGGGTAACACAATTTTATCATTTGATATATTAAGCATATAATCCTGAACTAACATGATATTTGAAAGCATATTCTTCTGGAAAGAATTGAAAGCAAATTCTTCTTCAATTATGTGGCATTCGGGCCTTCGAATAGAAAGGCTCCCTATTTAATTTTTCTAGATAATTTGGAATGTTTAATATCCCAAAAATTAAATAGATTCAAGCTTTCTTTTGAGGCAATCAAACAAACAAATTTCTATTATACAGTAAATAGGAGCAATGTAGTGTTAAGTTAGAAAAAAATTAAATGATCACTCTTCCTAAGATATTTTAAATTAAGTTACTTGTAAAATAGGAACAAATAGATAAATCTACATCAATAATTATTTAGAATCTTCTAAGAATACTTTATGAGAATATTTTGGGAGTGAGATGCAGTCATAGTAAGCGGAAGATAAATCTACTTCAAAAATTATTTAGAATCTTCTAAGAATACTTTATGAGAATATTTTGGGAGTGAGATGCAGTCATAGTAAGCAGAAGATGTTCAGATTTTATGTAAGTGGATATTTTCTTTTATTCTTCTGCGCATTAAACTTTGGTCTATATCCCCTCCAAAAAAAAAAAACACTTTGGTCTATATAAGGAGGACTTCTTTTATATATTGTTGGTTTATTTAAGAGAATAGTATTTGAGCTTTATCTCAACCATTCATCCTTCTATAGAGAGAGTTCAACATAAAAAGACCTCTTAGTTTTTATGGATTTATCCATCTTAAGTGCCTTCAAATTTACTGCCCGTCAGTGCAATATTTGTAGAGATACCTAGTTGGATAGTGCTCAGTTGCTGGATAAATCAGATTGGATATGAAAAGATTTCTATTAATTTTTTCAACATAATATAGAGTTTACATTCGCTTTATTTATTATCCTCTGTCACCATTTGTTCATATCATATGCTTATTTACTTGTATAGCTTTACCTTTAAACTGCAGGTGCTTTTGCAACCTGCAAGGACTTTTTTCTAGCTTGGAAGTAAGCAAGCAATCTATTTCTATCAGGCAAGCTATTCTTAACAACATCACAGCTTAAAAATTCCTGAGTCCACTTCCATAAGTTGGGAAAGTTTTCTTCATTGAGCAGATCAATATCAGCCATCTCTTGGAGTACTCCAATCCAGAAAGCAACATAATTTGCTGCAATGTCTACCAACCCGATGGTATGTCCTCCAAAAAATCTTTTACCTTTAATTTCTCTTTCAAGGATGCTAATGTTTTGCTTTGTTTGTTCCATTGAGTTCTTGTAGTCTCCGTCCTCCCAAAATAACATCCGGAACGCTGGAACACACTACAGTAAGTAAAGAATTAGATGCTGGAGTTCTAGACCATTATATTTAAGAAAGGTTTAAATTAACTATATATTTCATGAATATATCAATAAACTTAACATCAGTGTGATTTCTAATAAATAAATGGCATCACAAAACAAATGCAACATCGGTGATTAAGAACAAAGAAAGAAAACCAGTCATAAATCCAAGGTGTTTTGGATAGACTCCTTGTACTATTGCCCAATTGCAGATAGACCCCTAGTAGTTCTGTTGTTGCACCTTCTGAGTGAAAGTAGGCGATTCTTTTACTCTCAGAGAAAGAGAAATTGTTTTTGTCAAATATACATCTTGAGGGTAAAAGGGTCACAAATTTCACTTAGGCTATCCACAACAGTACAACTACAGCTGGTCCATCCTCAATTGGACGATGGTACAGGGGGTCTATCTGCGACTAACCCATAAATCCATATACACCTTCTCATCAATGAACTTTGCTAGGAAACGTGCATGTGCTCTTTCATATGGATCCTTAGGTAGCAAAGGATACACATCCCACGTTTCCTCAATGTATTCAAGGATAACGAGAGATCCTACAATTGATTTTCCTTTGTGCACGAGAGTGGGGACTTCTTGATATATGGGATTATATTTAAGAAGCATAGCACTCTTTTTTGAAAGGTCTTCTTCAATATAATCATAGAGTACTTCTTTGAGCTTCAACGCAAGATCTATTCGACGGCTGAAAGGGATCGACCAATATCCCAAAAGCTTCACTTCTGCAGCCATTTGCTGCTTGTGACACTATCACCATTTCACAATATCTCCTACTTATATTGTTTGTCTAAATGTATAAATAAATGGTAAAACAAAAATATTTTCAACTTTCTTACCGATACAAGTAGTTATCTAAACATGCAATTCTCTCTTAAGGCGTCTGTTATCAGAAGCAAAATTACAATATGGAATTTATAAGTGGTTGAGCCCTCTTAACTGTCAAAATTTCTAAATAATAACAAATTTATGTTAGATTCACCAAGTGAATTGTTCTATATATATCTTTCTTATTTGTTTGGAAGCATATCTAGATATGTAATTTATTAAGGGGAAAATTCAAATCCCATTGCTTATAGCTCCACTTTGAGAGAAACTAATTCTTGGAGAACTTTACAAAAAGCCAAATAAGTGTAGTAGCTTCTAAACAAAATTAAAATTTGAAAGTTATCAACCTTTTTGTGATCAGTCCTAACCTTCTTGTATGCATCGTTCAAAGGAATTCGATATCCTTACCTGTGGATGCAATGTCCACTACAGACAAACTATTAGTTCCTGGCAACTTTTTCTCAAGATTCCTTAAAGTAGCTAGAATTTGAATTGTCATTTAATTAACCATTTAAGTTAGATTGTCTGAACCTACTAAGGTCATTGTCGTCTGACCGCTGAATATCTCTTTGTGGGTTAAATACTAATCAACCCACTTAATTCAAACTCTTGCTTGAACTGAAGATTCCCAAAGTACGCTTCAAACTGAAATAAAATGTGAATTGTTCTCTGGCTATTTAAAGGTAGTCTTTGTGGATTAGTCCAAACTTAGTTTAGACCTTCTAACCACTTAATACACACTCTTTTAGGATTATTCCTAATTATCTCCATTTAATTCAAAAGAATGATATCTTTCACTTGATGAGGTTATGAGGTCTAACGCAAAGAGCAGGGTGGACAAACTCCTAAAATCCAAAGGTCAGATAATGACAAAATTTCCCCTATCCTATGACATGACTGAATTAGAATGAAACAGAAGATAACAAAAATATTGTTTTTTTCCTTGCATGAAGGCTAGATTTTATTCAATAGTAAAAGTGAAACAAAGATATACAAACTCCACCGAAAATGTGATGCCCCACTAATAATCCCACATTGGGAAATTAATAGTGTTTAAACGAGTCTGGAAAGTCAGGTGCACCTTTGATTAGTCAATTTTGGTAATGCATTGAGCTAAACCATATGTTGCACTTAGCGGGTCCTAAGGTTTACATTGGACCAATAGGCTAGCAGGCCCACGACACTGACAAATTGCATCAGAGCAGTTAGTCAGCCAAAAGTGTGAAACTAAGTGGTATGTGGGACTAAATTCTACATTGTGCGAGTGCGGTGGGACACCTCTAGAATCCACAAGAGGCGTCATGCCATGACAAGGACGTGACATATTAAAGGTAGGGTGATTCCGATAATAGTTCCACATTAAGAAATTGGTAGACTTTTAAGAGATTTAAAAAATGACGAGTCTTGATAGATAAGTGCACAACATTGACTAGTTAATTTTGGTAGTAGATTGAGCCAAACCACGTGTTGCAGTCAATGGGTCCCAAGGCTTACATCTCGCCAATGGGCTCGTGGGTTCAAGCCATAATGGAAAAACTCTTCACTCCAAGAAAAAACTATCTGCTCTCACCAGCTATACAAAACAAATCTACTCTGTTCTAGTAGTGTAACTTATAAAACACCATAAGTTTTCATGTAACGGGGAATCTATAATTTATTACTTAATAGCAGTTGCTACCGTGCATTTTTCTTAATATAATCATATGGACATAGAAGGGAGAAGCAATAAATAAAATCCTATACGTTCTTATTTTAGTTCGTCTTTAACAAATGTTTGTGTGTATATAAAAGCTCGATGCTTTAAAGAAATTGTTAGAAAAATGGCTAAAGAAGTGAAGGTTTTAGGATCATGGTCATGTCCCTTCACTTACCAAGTAGAGCTTGCTCTCAACCTCAAGGGAGCCCATTGATTCTCAAGTCTAATCCCCTTATTCCAATCTTCATGAAGGATATTCCTATTCTTGTGCACAATGGGAAATCAATAGCCGAGTCACTAATTATCCTTGAATACATTCAAGATACTGTTGCCTGCAGCCTTGTTTGACTTAGCCAGCCACCCCCGCCTTACATTTTTTGAGAAATGCAATCGGTGGCCGAAAGGAGTCTGCAAAGTTTGACAAATTAAAGTGGTGGCGGGTCCCACCAACTAAAATATTATTAGTGGCGGATCCCACCAATAATATTTTATTTGTGCATAGTATTTTCCAAACACTATAAATAGGGCCTTAACCTCTTAAGAAAATCTCATCCCAGAAACAACTCCTCTCAT